TTAGATTTCAAAGTATTTTAGTATTTGAACAAACACATGGCTTCAAAAGCAGAGCGGGAAAATATTTAGATACCAAAAATGATTAAAACTCCTAATGTACACAAAATGTATTCTTTGTAGAGAATATTATTTAGTTATTAATATGAGCTGAGTTTTTGATGACACTGTTACGTGTTTGTCTTCAGGTCTGGTCAGTGCCTTCCCAATGTTCGGTTCCTCTTTTTTCTACATACAAAGTTTGAGTTCTTCATCGATCCAGGCCCCCTGCATCTTGGCTGTAAACCTAAATGGACTTCATTTCCTTAACAAGGACACCCATGTGAGTAAAAAGCTAGATTTGCAGCATCAGAAATCCATAAAATCTTTCTGTATGTGTTTTCCATTTTCAGATTGTGGGTTTTTTGACGGTATACTTCTTATTTAGATTGTTCTAAGCTTTTTAGGGGTTCAAATACATTTTTTCTTACAAGTCTAATAGCACCCTTTTGTGGTTTAAACTGTATGTTGCCTTTCAATAAAACAGGCCAAGGTTATACATTTTTCAATTCAAAAATCATATGTGTTGATTCGTTAATTTATATCTGACAAATAAATGACGCAGAACAAGAGTAACGGCTACTGTTTAATTTGTCTTTGAGATTGCTGCGTTTCCATTAAAATACATGCGAAAATGTTTTGTATTAGTCTAATGTAAAAAAAAAAAAAGGCATAATTTCGCATTTACAGTGTTTCCATTTAATAAAAACTGTCCAGGCAACTCATGTAATCCAAAAATTGTTTCCATTGCAGTTTTATGAAATACACCAATTTTGGTATTGTGGAAAAAAAAACTCATCCTAGGGTGAAAATTAATAGGGTTTTTTATGAATTTCAATTTGTGCAATTTAATGGTCAATGGAAAAGCAGTTTCAAGACATCCCCTGAAAACTGGAATCACCTTAATCTTCATAGAAGATGAAAAATATTATTAGAATTGTCTAATAAAGTGACTTCAAGGGAAGCGTAAAGTAAAATGAGTAAAATTGTAAAAATTGACATTTTTTAAAATATCATTAAAAAAGTGCATATTTGTATGATCATGAAGACAGTCCTTCAAAAAAAACGTCAATAAAAATCTGGTACAGCAGATTCACCCTTTGTGAATTGTTTTTCTTACCATGAGTACCCCTCTGAATAAAATGTATTGATGAATGTCCAAAAAAGTATAATAACTGATTAAAAAATAAAAAAGATTTTTAATTTTAGTATTTAAATATTAGGCATTTTATTCTTTCCATCTCAAATAAATATATAACATAAATATGTTTCCTGGGAAGGAATCAAAAATAAATACAAAATAAAACCCATCATAAACCTGTATTTATAAAACTGGAGCTCCTCTGAGTAACTCCCTTGTAATCACATTTAAACTTGATGAATTGGGAACAAAATACAGAACAAACATTATAGTAGGACTGACTTAATTAGTTTTAATTTGTTTCAATCAAGACACCTGAGCTGCTTTAAAGATCTCTGATAGCTCATTGTGAAAAACAGCTGATCCCAGGCTGTTCTCTACATCCAGTCTGTTCCTCTGCTTGGTTAGATGTGTGTCACAGCTGAAGATGAACTCAAACATATATGAAAAAATGACTTGTGAAGCTTGTAACATTTTTCAATTTGGTCCTCTGAAAGCAAAACAGATGCCAGCCCTATTTTACTTTACTACCTAATAAATAAAATAGAGATATAAAAACACAGACCAGTAGGGGTACGATTACCCCCTGTTGGGAATCGACGTGTTTAAATTTTTAAAAAAAGACAACTTTCTATGGTTATTTTCATTATGCATTATCACAAATGTCCAAAAAGGAAAAGATATATTTTTTTTAAGATTATTTCAGCTGCGCTGGTTTTAAAAACCATATGATGAAAGTTATGTTAATTTGTGTTTTTTTAAATATAAAGATGATCTGTTCTTTTTTCAGGGGGAAATTTATTTTACGGCAGTGCATTTTGAAAACAGGAACTATAGACTTAAGTTTGCATGTATGTGATTAATAATTCCACCTTACACTACAGGCTCGAAAGCAAATATAGATCTTAATGTTGCGAAATTGTCCTTTTTCTTGCAGCATTTTTAGTTTATTTTAATTTGACTTTTTTTGGTATGAACCTAGCCTTTATGCAAAAATCTATGCGTTTGCATTAGGGTTGACGTTTGTGCCATTCCCAAAGCTTAATTTAAGTCTGTCATCACAGAAGCAAGGAAATTGGTAAGCTAGTTTAACATCACAGTGAAGGGAAGCTAAGCAAGAAAGAAACACCCACTCCAAAGGCTGTCCATTAGCACAAGCCACATGCCCTCTGGAGAACATTGTTTATAGTCAGATGAGAGAAGCGTCTTCAAGGTCAGGCTCTGAAAATAACTAGATGTCAAGTGGTGGAAGAGTCATCCTGAGGGTCCGCTTCTTTTCCAGTTATGCTGAGGACAATACAAACACCACAGAGAGGTACCTCCAAATTATTACATGTTGCATCAAATCAATGGGTCATACATGAAAATCCAACGAAATCTGTAGCTAATAGGGAATATAACTTCAAACAGACACCAGAACTGGTTTCAGAGGAAACAAAGCAGTCTAACATCAAGCTACTGCAATAAACACAAACTCAACCCAGCTGAAAATGTATGTTTTGAATAAAAAGCAGTGCTTGTATTTAACATGATTATGAGGTTAGGGAAAATCAATGATAGATTCAAACTTGTTTTAAAATCATTTAAGGTGCTTGTTTTACAATCTTTTTTTTATCCTTAAAAATACATTTTAGATAAATCCTTAAAAGCCCAAAGATGAATCTGACATTGATGTTGCTGATAATTTTATTTAACTAAACAGAACTCATCACTTTTCTGCAGTCAGTACTCATTTTTTAATATAGCAAACAGAGTTCCCTAAAATTAAATTTCATTTCAACGCCTTATAACTGTTGAGCTCCATATTTGCACCTTCTATAAACAGGAAACTCCAAACGATAAAAAAGAGTTGAAAATATTGTCTTTGTTTATATTTATTAGTGTGTGTGTTATTATTAGGACACCATGGTGCGTTTCCCCCTGAAGGAAGTGCAGTCTACTCGCACCCAGAGACCGACTTCAGGCTCCAGCTACCCATACGTGGAGATCATGATTGGAGACCTGCTAAACCAGAGGATCACGCAGCTGCAGCTGGAGCAGGTGTGCAACTTTGCAAGCAGTGCTCACACATAAGAATGAATGAGCAAACAATAAGCATTGCTATATTTATCCAAAGTAAGATTATCTTAAGCGGCATTTTTGAGCAGTGTGTTTGTGTTGTTCCCAGGGCCTCGAACTGTGCCGAGTCATTGCCATGCACATGGAGAACATGCTGTCATTCAGAGAGAAGAGACTCACCTTGCCACCCAGTGAAATTACCCTGCTTTAGCGGATAGATCCCACTTCAATGCCTTATTAGTGCACTATATCTACCTCTGAAATATTTTATATACATTTTTTTAGGCCTTTATTTAGTAGACCTTTCTATTTGATAGAATTGAATGGAATGTTTCTCTTGTATATTAGGTATTAAAAATTGTATTTTGTTAACAATGATGTGTATTTTTTTAAAATGAGAAATATATTTGCACTTACCATAGAAAGAAGGAGTTTTTTTGGCAGTTTAGCATTCTATGAGAAAGAAGAAAATGTGCAAAGTGAGCAGTAAACATGTTTAAGATAATTTGCATGCTACATTAGAAACAAAAAGGATGGATTGTCTTTTACTAGACTTGAATACAGGTTTGAATTTAACCTTATCAGTCAGAAATTAGGTGTTCACTTGTTTAGGTGCAGATTAATTCTAAGAGAACAGAAACAAGAGAATGCTACAAACTGATTAATTCTTCTCTCTTTGCCATAAACAAAAGTGAAGTAATAATCAGATAGCCCAATAAAAGGGACTGATTTTAGCAGATAGACACTTGAATGTCCAGTTTGCACAACAAATGTTTAATAATGTATATTTTGTAAATGATTGTTGTTGACAAATAATGTGTTTGAATAATGCTGGACATTAAAGTTCGTAGCATAACCTCTGATGTATGGTGTGCCAAGATGGTGCCTTGCCAGTCTTTCTATGCCTAAAATTACCTTATTTCTATCATGTTATATGGATTAAATCTAATGTATTTAATTAAGACTTATTTGAGAGGACAACATAAAGTAGCATATAGATATTAAGTGTAAACAAAAAATCTTTATTGTTTAATACCAATGAAATTATGAAAATATGGCTTAAAACATCTCACTAAAGTATTTTTTAATCCATTATATCAAATGGATGAGTATAGCACCACAAACCTAAATCATGATGCCACTATACTGAGGCAAGGCAAGGAAAGTAAGGCATTTAATTGGAGGAGAGGGCAAATATTTAAGGGGTTGCAGAGTGCCAAACCTTACAGATGGGAAAATATGTGCAATTGTTGGTCATCACAGACAACATATATCTGACCTTAAATTGAAACGTAGAAAGAAGATTTTTTTCTTCATCTTCTTAAAAAAAAAAAAACAATAAGCAGTATGCAGTCTATTCTAAACGATATAAGTGCATGTGTTCAGCTTGCTCTGTCCCTGTCTATGTTTTCCTGCATAGGATTGGCATATTTTTTTAAATATAATTGCCGACTACTCAACTTACCATCTTTTGCATTTAAGCTGCATATATCATTACACCCTATTATGAATTATTATTTCACAGAGCGCCTCAATGTTTTCGTTTATTTTGATTCTAACTCCTATTGGCTACTTTTCTTGAGTACGTTTAGTTTTGTGCTTTCAGCTAACTTTTTACCATCCGCAGTGCCAATTTATACCAGAGGCATAAAACGGTGTGCCCCGTATTACAAAACATGCGCGCCTTTCTGAAATTCTCGGGCGCGTGGGTGTATCCTAGTCGTTTCTCGCAGATTTCTTTGCCGTCATTGGTTAAGAATGACGAGTTTCGTGTGAACTGGGATTGGGAGGGGGGCTGTGGTCAAACCCACAACGACCTAAACAGCCCCAGGAGGAGAGGAGAGGGTAGAGAAGAGTTGTCCTCGTTGCAGCAGTTACTGCTGTAGCCCCGCGTTTAAAGCCTGTATGGGTTAGCCCCCCAGTTAGCTAGCCTAGCATCGTCCGTGGCGCCTCTCCTGCAGCGGTTAACTCCGGTTCGAGTGCTCCCCGTTTTCCCCTCGGTCCCACCCGGTCTAGCCCGTTAACCGCTTCGAAGATGATGAAGTTCAGGTTTCGTCGGCAGGGCACCGACCCGCAGAGAGAGAAGATAAAACAGGAGCTTTTCGCTTTCAACAAGGTAAAGTAACGGGACAAGGATGGGAGGGAGGCTGTAGGGTTTCCTCATCTTCTGCAGCTTCGCCCCCCCTAAAAACCCCAAACAGCTGAACTGGCTGCAGTTTTGATGGAGATCGCCCTGCAGCATTTCACCTGGCTTCCAGTCTGTGTTGTTCATGTATAGAGATTTCCACATTACTGCTTCTGATCAGGCTGATTGCAGCCTCAACTCTTTTGTTGATGGGTGTTGGGGTGTGTATGTGTGAGGAGGGGGCTTCATTGGCCTCCCATCCGAGTACACAGCAGAAAAAAAGTGCAAAACTTTATTTTTCTACAGCTGATGCTGTTTTTATCAGGCACTCGTGGTTTTTTGTCACCAATAGGGATTATGCAAGATTAGAGATAAATGAGGTTGATCTATTGCATAAGATATTTCAGCGCTTTGATCTGATTCTATTTCAATAATTTGATCCAAATGGGGGCTGCTGTCTTAACTTATGCTGTTCCACGCGTGTTTCAGTCTCTGGGTGGAACTATGGATTTTGATGTTGGTTGTTACCTGAAGTTCAAACTATCACATGGTGAAATATGTTCTATAAAACAAATATGAAGCAACATTAAAATACAGCTCCTTACAGAGGTTGATTTATTTTATTGTTTTCTTTATTTTTATTGGAAATCAAATACTGTTTTTTTTTTTTTTTTTTTTAAGCCAGCTGAGAGGGTTTAAAAAAATGTTTGCTCCATGTGTTTGAGTTGATGACCTCACCAGAGGCATCAGCATCAATCTGATAAGCTACCATTAGTCAACATTTCCTCTCATGAAAATTTGCAGATTACGACATAAACATTGAAGCATTTGAGTACAGCTGGGCGATATGGCTTTAAAATTAATCTCAGATTGTTTTCCTACCAAATCCTATTAATTCATTGGTTTTCTCACTTAAGTTTTGTAAGAAAAATGTCATATATTGCTTTTAAAAACAGGCTTTGAATGAAATTTGATTTGTGAAACATGCTTGTAAAAATAATCAACAAACAATAAGAATATAACAATTTAGATAGTTGAATTGTAGCATTATACATGGAGGTAGTTTAACTGTTATGAGGAGACATCTAAGAACGAAAAGTGATGAACTGATGTCAGTCTGAACCATGAAGCCCAGTGAATAGATTGGTGGAAAAAAAAATCCAGATTTTCCAAAAAAAGCTTCATAACACACACAGACAGACACAAAAAACAGTTACTGACACGTATGCTTCCTCTCTCATGGCTGCAATGGCTGGTTGCACTGTCATTAATCAAAATTAGGCTGATCTGCTGAGTTTTAACGAGCGTAATGGCTGCTTAAACTGTTTTTCAAGTTTCAAGAATTTATTGTCATTGTCAAAAAAAAGGCAACGAAATTATGTTTGGTGTTTTTTCAAACACATATACATCCTTATTCTTGCATATATGGGAGAAACCAGGCAGGTGAGCTACAGCTGCAGGTGGATCAGAGCATCATTACACCGGTTTAGTCCGATAGTTTGCATGTTAATAGAGAAAAGACCAGTAGAAATAGTGGGCTTTATTAGCAAAGAGGCAAAAAAGAAAAGGTATGGGTTCAGCAGGGGAGAAAAAAAATAATTTTCTTTATGTGTAGCAGATTGTATCTAAAGTACATTGATTTTTACATCAATGTCTGCATATAGGTTTAACATATTGGTGGTGGTGGTTCTGTCCTCTAACCGGGTTTGTTTTAGATCAACTGTAAGTAAGCTTAATTAATAAAGCTTTATTTATTGAACACTTTTTATGTTACAAAAAGTATTTAACAAATGTCTGAGAAAAAAGAAAGCACAAGAAAGCCCACCATAAGCCATACAAATTAAAGATGATGTTGAAGTCCAGTTATGTGGATTAACCAAATCTTATTTGGAGAAATGTTGTATATAATAAGAGTATGCAAAGAAAAACTAAAATGTATTAAAAATGAATAGGTGTAAACTTTAACGTTGATGACTGCTCTGTTAGTTCATACTGGTTCTACTGAATAGAAATGAACAACCAGATTAATATTGTCACCCCCAAACGATTCAGATCAGAAAATAAAATGCTTGGAAATGTAATGTAAATGTGCAAAACTTGAGCATTTTGAAATTTTCTGTCCCATTATCACTATGCAAGTTTGTCCACTGCTGGTAAACCTTTGGTTTCCCAACATTTGCTGTAATTCTTTGTGTGGTTAGGGGGCCAGGGGGAATCATTGATTGTTTCTGGATGACCTGCAGCCTGGGCAGTCGAATCTCTCAACTATACAGTTGTAGTGTCCAAAAATGAGTCAAATTTGTAGTGTTGTAGCCTTGAACTGAGATTAGGTAAGACTAAGAGTTTTTTCAAAGAGCAAACATTTCATGTTGAAAGACTGTTAGTTAATATTGGCTCTACTGAATAGAAATGAACAACTAGATTATTATTGTCATGCCAAATGATTCAGAGCAGAAAATAAAATGCCTGGAAATGTAATGTAAATGTGCAAAACTTAAGGATTTTTACATTTTCTGTCTCGTTATCTCTATGCAACTTTGTCCTTGCAAACCCCTCCCAGTTAAGCGGTGCCTCTGTGTGGGATTCTCACGGTGAAATACTGTACATACTGTAATTCTGGTATCACAGTGACTGACTCCTTTCCCTACAGTGAGGTCACAAGCTTACTTGTAGAAATGTTGGTAAAAGTAACTTTTAAGGGGAGTATTGTGGACTAATCACCTTAAAGAATGGGTTTAGTAAAATATTCAGGTCTTACTCTGCTGATGACATCAGCAATTGCCTAACAACCATTGTGTACATGCTGCAAATCATAAAATTGTTCTTATGGCCATTTGCAAATGATTCAAAACCTTTAACCTTCTCCAAATTTAGTCAAGCAGTCTCTTTAAAGAAATAAATGTTCTGTTAAGTGTACATTTTTTTTTGTTTGCCTGATTAAATAACGATTCAGTAAGATATGCATTCTCGCTTGAGTCGCTAAAGCTAATCTTTGGTTAAAATTATTACATTGAGGGAACGAAAAGGGGTAGCTATGACCTTTGAATGTCCCATTAAATAATTTGATAAATAATTTAATACCCCTGGAAAAAAGCAGCTGAAATGAGCGGCTGGGAGTCTCTGCTGAGTCTGCTGCTTTGACGGCCTGATCCCAGATAAGTGGAAGACGGTTGACCAGGCATTTTAAATTCAAATGCTATTTTCTAGAAATGTATTTATTTATTTAAAATGCATATAAGTAATTTACTCTGTGTATATTCTTTTGTTTCCTTGCTGCAGAGTCATGGTTGAATTGTTTAAACTGTCAACCAGACCCATCAAACTCTGTGATCGTGTCTGAAGGAGAAGGCTTGGTCTATAGGACTGATTGGAGATATTTTAGACCAAGATAGGGGCTTGGAAGCAGGAGTTGTTGTTTTTTTTTTTTTTACTTTGGGGTAAATAAAGAAAACATGCAACAATTTTATTTGAGTTCCTTTTGCATTCACCAACATAGATATTGAGATATCTGTTAAGATTCTCAGTCATCTAGATCATGATCCAGCTTGACAGTTTAGGCAACTTGACATGAAGTTTGCTAGAAAATAGATTTTTTAAAGATAGATATTGAGCTGCACAGATTTGCTTAGACATTTAAATAACAATTTTTGTTCATGCATTTACTTATTTTATTTCCCAAATTGAATTTGTGTTTTTATTTGCTTTCTTTTCTACTTCAAACATAAAACATGTTTGGCCTCAAGGTTTGTTGTTTTCACAGAGTTGAAAGCTCTCCAAGGGCTGGGGTGAGAATCTTGGGGTCTCACACTTCGAAAAATGCAACATGACCAAAATTGAGTGCCTCTGCAATTTAAAAATTACAAAAAAAAAAAAAAAAAAATTTGCAATTATGTTGGAAATTAAATTGTTTAGCTCTATCTAAGAGTTATGGCAAGATTTTAAGAAGTTGTAATAATTTTTGTTGTAACATCTCTGTATTGTGGAAAACAACCAATCAGACATCTGTATCTGTTTAGGAGTTGCCCTAGTCCTTTTAAGATATTTATTATTAGATGCCATTATTTAAGATGTATATCTAAAGTGACACTGCATAATTTTTGAACCCAGTTCTGGCTTAATTTAATATGTATTGAATGACTTTTTAGGCCATATACTGCACTTGTTATAGATGCTCTGTGTGGGCTGCCCTCCTGTTAACTAAAGCATCGCATTACAGCATTCTGAGCTTACATTAAACATGAAGCTATATGTACAAAACGAATCGGACACCAACCTGATTAGATATATATTTTATTCTCTGTTGTGGGATTTAATCTAGAGGGGTGAGTAAGGCCTTGAATTTTCGATCTCCTGGTCAAAAGTGGTCTGCTTTTAAACACAGGAGGAGACTGTTTGATTTTATGACTTTGCAATGTTGCTAAAAGTTACAGCATCTATTAAATCATCTGTTTTGGGTCACTAATTACCTAATTTTGCATTCCGTAATTGTATATTACATTTTTGTATGATATACTGGTATGAAAAAAAATAAATGGTGCATTTGATTACATCCCTGAAAATTTACTTTTAATCCATGATATATTTATATATTTTTTTATTTTATTCTGTCTCTTTTTAACTTTTCTAAATGTGAGAAAGTGGAAGGCCTATAGATGCTTTTACAAATCCCTTTTCTTTTGTATCAATCTGAAGATTTAGCATAAATATGTTTACATTTATTTAGTTTTATCCTGATTTCAGAGATGCACAGTATAACCAATTGTAATTGTCATCTCATTATCGGTGTGCAGTATTGGAAAGAACTGGTTGGGCTCAATATTTGAGGTATGCAGTATCTCCAGTTCATGCATTTTTTTTCTTTTTCTGAATATCAAGTATTTTTCACCAGTTGGACGGACTCTAACTAATGGTTCTTTAAGTCAATGTTTATTTTTATTGGCTGAGTTGTCTTTGTTGGCCGGGACTGGTGCCGAGTAGAGGTTATGAAACAGAAGAGTCAGAAAGGTGCAAGTTAAGTGAAGTCAACACTGCAATTTTCAGCCATTTAATTACAACTGCTGTACTGAGCAACATTTGATGTACTTTCAGCAGCTCAGAGCGTTTTTGAACATCAGCACAAGAGTAAAGCTCAGACTGGCCTTTCTTACATTATCCAGATAACCTTTGTTGCTTCTGATGTTGCAAATGTTCCTGACAAAGACTTGCCAAAAGTGGTTAGGGTCTAAAGTATATTTTATGTTTAGTGTCTTTAAGACAAACAAAAATCAAAGCTACTACATAAAAGATGACAAAGGCAGCCATAGATATTTATATCTATGTCAGTATCTCAGCACATTTAGGCTAATCTGCCATAGAGGCACACTTATACTAAGAGGAGATACACTGGTTTAGATCCAGAGACGATGGTCTGTGTCAGCTTGATTTTTTTTTTTTTTTTTTTTTTTTTTCGGTTGGTTTTTTTTTTTTTTTTTTTTTTTGCGAAATGTGATAACATAGTTTTGCTATTGGCTTCCTGTCGGATACATTGTTTTGTAAAATCCTTTTAGCACAGCTGCAACAGTTTTTTCTTTTGCCTCCATTGTTTGTTGCAGAAGGACTGGCAGATTGACCACTTAATCTGGGTCTTAACGGCAACATTTGTCCTTTTCTTTCCCTGCAGATTAAAAGTTTAGATCATTAAGATCTTCTCTTGGGTTCCTGAGAGTCCTTGCTATTTTTCTTTTTTTTTTTCACCTCTCAGATAGATTCCTGCATTCTCTTGGCTTCTAATGCAAATCTCAGTCTGTTCATCTAAACATGTCTTCAGTGACACCCACTAAGTAAATGCCTTTAATAGCGGTGGTGTGTGGGTGCTGTACGGAGTCAGCTCATCTGAACGGTGTATCATGTTTAAAGTCCATAAACTGTTTGTTTTGTTGGAACAACATGCCTCTTTTACTGTTCTGTACCAGCTGCTGCAACCGACACAGAGGTGGTCTGTCTGCAGGAGGCTGGGTTTGTTTCTAATCACTTTGGCTTTCTAAAGACAGCAAATATGGATGCTTTACTTTATGTTCTAATAAAGAGGAAGACCCTGGTGAAGTCGTTTTTAAAAAAATGTGCTGACTTATTCCCTGAAGCTCTAAATGCATTCCCAGCTGGCTGCCATGCCGTGCCATGGGCAGAAGGGGAAAAATGCCTGTGAATTGATGTTAATCCCAGTTAACAAGGTTTGCAGAGCATGGCAGTAAATTGTCGGCGCTGCCATTCAGTGGCCTTTTAAAAAAAGTTTCTTTTGACTTTATTAAGGGGGGTCCTCCCTTTTAGACGCCTCTTTGACTAAACAGTCTGGCTTGAGGGGAAAAAGCTGAACATATTTTAAGAGAAATATGAGTTAATAAAGTTTATTGACTTTGTTGTGTCAGCTGGTAAACTCCAATTGTGTTTTTTCTTTTTTTCTCCTGTGTCTTCTTCCTCTCAGACTGTGGAGCATGGGTTCCCCCACCAGCCCAGTGCCCTGGCCTTTGACCCCAAGCTGCAGCTGATGGCCATCGGCACAAAGTCAGGAGCCATTAAAATGTATCCTTTATCACTGGTGAGCTTTTGGTTCCGAGTTTGCTTCTTTTGGTTGTCATCGCTCCTCAGATAAAAGCTGCCATGGCACAAAAGACTTCAGCCCACATTTTCTGAGAGAATGTCATGTGGCAAACCATCGTCATGTGGAGAATATTTGTGACATAAAAGGAAAGTGATATATCCATGCTAGTAATATTTTAATGAGTTTTATTAGCTAAGTTTCTTCCAGTGATGCAAAAATCTAGACTAAAATGAGACTTATTCCTTTTTGCAAATTAACAAACTCTAAATTATCTAAGTCTTGTCAAAGATTTTTGATTGGATTGAGGTTTGAACTTTGGATCACTATAACACAAAGTTCATCATGATCTACACCATCCTGCTGTTGTTTGGGACTGTTATCCTGCTGGAATGTGAATCTTAATCCCAGTCTGAAGTCTTTCAAAGCTACTTCTATCATCCCATTAGCTCCAATTAGCTTTCATCTCCTTCTCCTTTTTAGAAATGTGTTCCCACTGCATGATGAAACCACCACCATGTCTCACAATGGGATGGTGTCAGCAGGTTTACATGATGTTTTTTTTATTTTTTATTCCTCCACATATGTGGTTTTCTAAAAAGTGAGTTTTTAATGTTCTTTGTTCTGTATCCTTCACAAAACACCTATGCTAATACTGAACAATGTTTCTGCTTCGAGATATTTTTGTTTATACTTGATCTTGTGTCAGGGTCTAACTGAATTTGAGGATTTTCAGATTTTTAAAAAATGCATACTTTATGTCCTCATTGGAATTATGCAACACAGTGTTGGTCTATCCCATAAAATTCATGAAGGGTTTTGGTAATAATTGGACCCAAATGGTACAGGACAAGCTTTGACGATATGCAAGTAAATATTAGAAAGTCTAACCTTCCACTTGGTAATCTATAAAATGCTAGAATCATCTGTAAGTCTGTAAGTGTTATTCAGAATATGAGAAGCAATCAGAGAAATAAGTAAGCCTCTCAGGTCGAAAGCCATAAACAAAACCCAAGAATACGGAAACTGATTTCCTTCCTTTGCTGTCAGTTTGAATCTCTCTTATCTCTACATCAGCTCTGCAATTCAGTTACAAACCTTCTGCTCCACATAGAGATGCTCTGCTTCTTTTGACTTCCTGCTGTCAAGTGCAAGGTCTAATGATAACCTATTGGGCCATAAGTGTTTTCTTTATGTACCAAATATTGCTGAGACATTGCTGCTCTAGGCTGCTTTATTGTTGCTGTTTTTTAAACGGAGGAAATGCTGATCAGTTGTGATTGTAGAAGAGCTGTTTATATAACACTGGTCTGCTGAGCGGTGTGTGATCGCTGTGGGAACAAAGGCGGGGAGCAGAGGACTCATCAGTCGCTCTTTACCAGACATTTCTCGGTTAATAATGTATTATTCAGCTCTAGGGACATGCATGTAGAGTTTTTTTTATTTTTTTTTAACTTAAATTCATCCAAGTCAACAGGCACAGACTCCTTTCTTCTTATTTGTGAAAGTATTGGGCTCTATAAACATAGTAGCTTCTTACTGTGAATCAATGCATTCTGGAAAAAAATAAGAAATTTAGAGTCTTCTTTTTACCTTTTCTCTTTTTTTTTTCAGCCCTCCATGCATTCATAGTGACCTCTTCTATTTTTAAACTGAAAAACTAGCTATTGAGAAAGGAAATGGTATTGTTATGATTATTTCTCCAAAAGGCAGTTCCTTGATGTGCTTACATCAGGAGTATCCTTCCTCCTTTTCTGGCCCAGGGCACCACCAGGTTCTGATCACACAGGGTAATTGGGAACACTGAGTGAAGCTGCACTTGAAAAATCATCAGTTTGGCTTGTTGAAAGCCTTGCAGCAAAACTATAATTTGGCCTAGGGTTTCAGTTATGTCAGAAATGCTAACAACTCGGCGGCTCATGCACTGTGTGCACATGGTGATATTTTCTTACTTGTTATTCCTGCCACAGGCAACGCCGTCAGGACTTCAGTGACATTTCCAATGCGAGTTCTGATTTTCTGCTGTGGTTTTATGAAAGATGTTATTGAGCTCAAACAGGCCATTTTCTGGTTACATGACAATCCTACCAACTAAAAACCCACAAATGTTTTGACCTTGATGTTTAATGTTGTTTGGCATGAGCTATATTAGCATGTTTTCTCTTTAGATTTTGTGTGGAGCAGAGGAGATCTAAATTGGTTGTAACAAACATGCAGGTATTTTGATCACCATTTGCATTCATGGAGCTAAATTCAGTCTGTTAAGATGTATTCATGTATGAAAGGAGGGTGAAGCCTGCAGATGCATTAGAGTGGAGAATTGGCTCTTTGAGGCACAGCTCTGAGAGGGGAGAGACAGCGAGACTGGTGGTACCAGGCACTTGCACCCCAGAGACGGATGGAGATAAACAGAGGAAGCAAAGATGGAAGGAGAAGGAAAATTAGATGCAAAAATAATATCATAAAATACTATTCTGACTTCTCACCATGTCTTTAATGAAGTTTCAGCTTGTTTAGTATTGTTAAGACTAATAACCCAAATATATATTTTGAAGTCAATGTATAATAATAAGAATACTTTACAAAGTACATATTTTATATATATATACTTTGTGTAAACCTTTATAAAACATGGGTATAATGCGTGTTAAGAGCACAACATTTTTAACTATAGCTTTGCGTGGAAAAACGTGATGCTCAAGCAACAACCTGTAATATTATATAATGCACATGTATATACTTCTAGAGACGTCTTATGATTCTATCTTAAATATCATTAAAAACTAAAAATTGCTGTCACTTTTGCATGACATGCGGTGCCGTTGAAAAACTTGAAAACGGTCTTATGTATCGTGTTGCTGTATACGCCGCACAGTATAAAAGCTTCAAACTGTGTCTCATTGTCGGCGCAAACATACCTGTGTCAGGCATAAATTAAGTTTAAACACTGAATCCACAGCAAGAAACTCAAATTGTTAAAATAAACGTGTAAACTCAAATCCACCTCGGTCCCGTGCAAATACGCTTACCACTGCCGTGCAGATCAATGAAGTTCCGCATGAATGAAGCCTGGCCAGACGCCGCAGCGGTCTCTGAATCAACAGCTCCTGAATTTCCCGCGTCAAACAGGAAAATTTGAGCGCCAGACAGAAAAAAATCTCACTGAATTTAAGAGTAAAATCAACCCACCAAGCTACGCTTTCTTGAATAGCGAAACCAAACAGGAAAATCAGGAACAGAGGCGCTGTAGGACAGCCTGGTGTAAGGGAATTTATGAAGCCCGCTAACGTATTGGCAAGCTGGTGTTTAAATTTCTCTTAGATATTGTCATTTTGAAATCTCTATCAAGAAAAGTGTGATTACAAGGGAATGGCAACTAAAAAATAAAATAAAATGTCCAACTTAGCTCAATGGTGAGTTATGTTTATTTCAGTAGACGATGAGGGGCCCCCCACGTGGTCCTTGAGGGCCCATCATTGGTGACTGTTGCTGTAAAGTGTAAAACTGTTTGCCAAGATATTTGATATTCTTCTTTGATCCACCACAGATGATCCAGACAGAAAACAGTTGAAGCAAACCATGGCTCTACTTTTTTGGCTTTTGTTTCTCTTTTCATGGATGAAGAAATTTTCTTCACTTGCTTGGTAGATAAGCAAGAAGTGAAGAGTCAGATGGTTCCAACTACTAGTTGTTACCATACCCCTGCCTGCTGAAGCTTTAAGTAGCCTGTTGTCTCTCTGTAATTAACCCCATGGAGCTATTGTTTGGGAGGTTGATGTCTGGTTGCATAACATGTTGTTGTGGTGAAAGCTGTAATTTCCAGAGATTCTGCAGGTAAAGATAGATTCAGGGTTCCTGCACTGTCTCTGGAAGTTAGGAGNTTAGATATTGTCATTTTGAAATCTCTATCAAGAAAAGTGTGATTACAAGGGAATGGCAACTGAATAAAAAATAAAATGTCCAACTTAGCTCAATGGTGAGTTATGTTTATTTCAGTAGACGATGAGGGGCCCCCCACGTGGTCCTTGAGGGCCCATCATTGGTGACTGTTGCTGTAAAGTGTAAAACTGTTTGCCAAGATATTTGATATTCTTCTTTGATCCACCACAGATGATCCAGACAGAAAACAGTTGAAGCAAACCATGGCTCTACTTTTTTGGCTTTTGTTTCTCTTTTCATGGATGAAGAAATATTCTTCACTTGCTTGGTAGATAAGCAAGAAGTGAAGAGTCAGATGGTTCCAACTACTAGTTGTTACCATACCCCTGCCTGCTGAAGCTTTAAGTAGCCTGTTGTCTCTCTGTAATTAACCCCATGGAGCTATTGTTTGGGAGGTTGATGTCTGGTTGCATAACATGTTGTTGTGGTGAAAGCTGTAATTTCCAGAGATTCTGCAGGTAAAGATAGATTCAGGGTTCCTGCACTGTCTCTGGAAGTTAGGAGTGTTATAAGTCCATGGTTTAGGTATGTGTTAAAAATAAATAAATAAACAAACTGAGTTTAAAATAATTGTTAATTTTCCAGACTTAATTTTGCTTCTTGATTTTTCTAAATGATCCGAGTCTGATAATGTAGCAGCTTTCCCAAAACATTGTGTGCATCTACACTTTTTGATATACTTGTCTTTTTTAGGGGTTTAACTCCAGTACAGTAAACAGAGCAGGTCCATTGTAACAGTCACACTGCAGCTGCAGCAGCAAATACAGTCTCTGAATCTGAATTTTGGCAAAATTCAGATTTGTTTGATTTATAAAACAATCTGAAAGACTGGCAATTGTTGTAGTGTTGAGCAGCCTGTAGACATAAGGACAGGCATATTGGCCATATTGGCCTGTTAGTGCCCCACCTGACGCACAGAAAAGAGTGACAGCCATCTGGAGCTTTGTCTGGAATCATTCATTCCACACTTATGGTTGTAATTCATTGACACAGGTGTTCATCCCACAGCATTTATTTCCATTAATGTGGTGAAACTCCCCTGCTG